TACCTTTTTATTTAAGCAAGCAGGTTATTAAATTAATCAAGTGAACAAGTATGCTCAGCTCATCACACATATATGAGTAGAATCTCGATGATGAACTGTTCACAGGGAACCTGAGGCTTCCTATGGAAGAAAGCTAAATTTGTTTCAGGATTCCGTGGGTGTTCATGGTTCCAGAGGGTAAAAAGCAGATGACAGCTCTACAGAGGTGCACTAAACACTGGCACAGGACCTGCCATTCTCACAGTATTCTGAAAGGCAGATCATTGCAAGCTCTTATTAAAGACCTGGGAGTTGGGCAGCATGCTTCCATCTGTAATGCCAGCATTCAAGAAACTGAGGCAGGAGGATCACCAACTCCAGGCTCACTTGCATTACACAGGAAGTTAGACTATGATAAAGGAAAAGGCCGTGTTTTATAAAGTAAATTAATAAATGCAGCAGTGGTAAAATCAATAAAACCTCAACAATAAAAACATGTAAATAAAAATAAAGAATTAATATGCAAAACATAATGAGTGATTCATAGCAAACTAGTAAACTAGTAAGTTTTTTTAAAAGTTGTCATTTGAATTACATTTGAATCAGTGGATAAAGAATCTGCCTAGAGCAAAAGTTACAGTGTCTTATACTAAAGCATATCAATTTCCTCTTAAGTGGCTTCCACATCACAGTCATACCTGTAGCACATTTTCATGTACTTCTTGTGACCATAAAATACCCCAATTTACCCCAAAATTAAAATATATTTTGATATTGTAATTAATGATTATATACTCCCATCACAGATAAACATTATGAGAATTATTGCCCTATAAATCTCTTCCAACAGATTATTATACATTTTGAATTTAGCTTTTATTTTTCTGGTCATGAATCCTAAGTTTCAGAAAAACTGCCTGTTTGATGCAAGTTTTCCTATTAGTATGGATCTCACTGTGCTTTGTGTAAATTCAAATAAAAGACTGGGAAATTCAAAGACTACATAATGCTTTTTTTTTTTCACCAGCTGCTTGTGGCTCACTAGTGAAATTGCAATTAGAAAGCATTCCGCTCTAGCTGGTCCTGCAAGAATACAGGATGATAAAGAAAATTGTGGACTACAAAGGGTCCAACATCTGCATAATTTTGGCTAGTGCATAAATAAGAAGGCCGAAGTTTTTGTGAATACAGAAAAGACAGAGGATCTGCTAAGATGAACTGAGCCGGTGAATTACGAGAAGTGGGAATGGTTGCCCTGTGCTCACATAAGAGCCTTGTTTGGAAATGTAACACCTATTTCAACTGAGTTTGCCTCTCATTTTAATAGAGCATGAGCAACAAGTGCCTTTTTTATTAATTTTTTCAAACTTAGGCATAATGCAAAAGGATATAGTACAAAACTACTCAAAATTTAATTAAAATGCTTCAACAGGAAAACTTTATTAATGTTCTATATCCTGACTCTAGTAAAGTTTCCTAGCACACTGAAAATGCCCAACAAGGATAAAAATATTTACTAATCTATAATTATTATGTATTTTATAATAAGATAATTTGCCACATTATGTAACACATGATGTTTTGGATTATATCATTAGACTAACAGTGTTTTCATAAGTATGTTTTAAAAATAACAGGTAGCTTATTTTGGAGCATTATACATAAAGAAATTATCCATATACATTAAAAAGGGATACTGCAACAGGTATAATGGAATCTATTTCTAGTATAGTAGATTCACTTTTATGGTCCTGTTTGTCCCTCATATCATTTTTCACGGCGTTTTCAGGCTTTCCCAAAACTTCCTTCATCCACACCCTCATGCTACTGTAAATCTAGTTTACTATTGCAGTTTGCTTTTTTGTGTCATGTCTCAGTATGTTAGCAAATGCAAATATAAAAGAGACTAGTAAATTTGTTGTGCCTTTCCCTTTACCATTTTTCCAGACAATTTGCCTCAGCTTAGTTTTTGAAGGAATGAAAGAATGTTAACCAAGGCAACTGAGGATATCATTTGTAAAACCCCTGTTGCACATGTAACTCCAAGCAAGGTTAGTATATCTGCATAGGTGAGCCACTACTGACCAGTGAAGCATGAGTAAGAAAAGAAGTGCCAGCAGAGCCCATCCCAAGTAAACTCCTGAGCCAAATAAAACTGTGCTTTTTATGCCACTGAGACAGTTCAACTCCCTAATATTCAACATTCTTATGACCATAATATGCTGACCCAATGCATCCAGAGACAAACTAAAACACATCTGCAGTTGTTTCCAAATGCCATTTGATTTTAAGAGGACACAACCCTTATAACTAAGAACAGTGAATTTATTTTACATTAAAGGTACAATGCTGTTTACCTCTTTCTGTTAAGTGCACACTCTTTGAATACATATTTTTTCCAATGAAAACTTTTAAAAAACAAGACAAGATTCATAACAATTGTGTTGAGGTGTTAACTCGACTCAGGGCTTATCAAACATTACTTCTAGGAATATCACTGAGGGTCTTTCCAGGAGAAACTAGTATTTGAAACAATGGACTATACAAAAAAGCCCTGTGATCACCTAATAGCCATAAACATTTCACACAACTGAAGACATGAGGAGAATAAAAGGAGCCAATTTATTCTTCTATCTAAAGCAGGCCATTGTTCCTCCAACAGCAATAAATATCAGAATTTCAATGACTGAGTTTTGGAATTTTGGACTTCCACCATTAACAAGCCAATACTCTCCAGATTTCTTGGGTATTTGAAGTTAAAATGAGCTATGAGATAGTTTTCCTAATTCTCTGGCCTAAAGATGCTTTATTGTAGGGATTCTTAGCACCTATAAGTACATGAGTCAGTTCCCATAACCTTTGCCTTCTTGTCTGTCTATGGATCTATCAAACAATCTTCTAAAGGATCTAGAGTAATATGGTACCCTTCACTGGAACAGCTTGCTGACAAAACCTCTATTGTGAGCATGTGTGTGTAAGATAATATTAAAGGAAAATATTAAACAGGTGATGGAGACATTATTCAAAATTCAAGAATCAATCACTAGGATTAACTGGAAAAAAATTTGAGGACAATAAAACCGGAGGGCATTACTGGGAGGCTAGTCAGCGTTACTCCATTGAGAACAGAAAGTGAGAAATCTGCCTCTTAGCTTCCCACAGAGAAACAGGGGTCTTTATGATTCTATTGAAAGAAAAGAAATATGTCTTTGATAAAGACATCTCTAAGTGTGTAAATCTGACAAAAGTCTTTGAGATGTTTTGCATCTCCAAAGATTAGAGAAATAATATCCAGTTTTTACTATCTTAAAGCAACTCCCCTAAGAAAACTGTGTTCTTGGACTAATAGGAAGAAACACTTTAGAGAGTTTTGTGGAGCTAAGGGGAATAATAAAGATGCCTTGGTCCGTGTGGCAGGAAAAAAAGTGAAAAGCAGGAACTAAAGTACCATATCCAGTCATATTATTATTTTCTTTCAATACCATTATATTCTTTCATTTATTCCTTCTTGTCCTTTATAATTGATTGCAGTCTTTGCAGAGAATGACTTTCCTGGTCATTCAACATTCATACAATATAAAACACCCTCAGTGCATTTTTATGTGTCTAAGAAATAACACTTACTTGGACTCTGCCTGTACTTTTGATTCTTGTTACATTCCATAAAAGCACACAAACACAGAATTAGAAAAAACTGAACCATTACTCCTGGGAAAAATATAAGGATATGACCTTAGCTCTCAGTATTTTTGTCAGCCAATCCATACATAATCTTGTTTTATGAGCATGAATTGAAAGTTGTCCTATTTAATAGGTAGTGTTGATTCAAATGCATCAAATTGATGTCTAAGAGGACTTCACATTTTCTTTTACTATTTCTGTTGCAAAAACTAAAAAATGCCTCATAAAATATAATGCCTGTGAACAGAAGTCTGATGTAGCTCCAAATAGAGTAAACATTGAAAATTTTGTATAAAAATCTAGAAATTCAGGTAGAAGTATACTTCTGGTTGTCCTTAATAATAAGATAAATACTTATAATGTTCCTATAATAAATCTGGTATATATATTTAGTATAGAAAACTATCAGATATATAATTCTATATAATATATATTCTAAATAATTTATTTGGTAATAGGTATTGATGCAACAAATATCCTCAGCCTAATATATCCTAAAATAATTTTTAGTTATTCTTCAAAAAAGATTATATAAATTATGAAGATTAGTTTTTTTATTTGATATAAATTAGAGTTACCTGGGAGGAGAAAATATTGAGTAATTGCCTCCAGCATATAGGCCTGTGTTCAAAGGGCACATTCATTAAGAAATTTCTGGACTAGTGTTTGATATTAAATGGCCCAGTTCCTCCCATGGGCAGGTGGTTCAAGACTGTATTTTAAATATCTGAACAAGTCTATGAACAACATTCCTCTATTGTCTCAATTCTGGTGCATTGTTCCAGATTCCTGCTTTACCTTCCTTTCATATTAGACTGGCATGTAGAAGGTTAGGATGAAATAAATTCTTTCCTCCCCAAATTGCTTGATGGCAATGGTGTTTATTATAGCAACATGGAAAAAATTAAGTTATATACATGCAATACATCTTAACCATATATACCCCTTAAAACACCCTTCTAATTCTCCCTAATAATCCTCTCCCATTGCATCTTCCTCCAACTGTAGGTCCTTCCTCTGTAACTTATTGCACAAAGTATCACCATACCACATTTAACGTTATAATTCAGAGCTAAAGTAAGAAAACATCATGCTATTGGCATAAAAAAACCCAGACAATCAATGGAATAGAATTGAGTACCCAAGCTCATATTTTTCTAGGCGCCTGATTTTGGCAAAGAGCTCAACAACACTTGTTGGAGAGAATACAGCATCTTCAGAAAATGGTACAGCTTTAATTCTTCTTTGTGAAAGAATTGAACTGCATCCTTATCTCTTACTCTGTACAAAACATGATACCAAATGTATAAAGAAACTAAATAAATTTTATATTAATTAGTATGGTTATGAACAGTTTTGAACGTCTTATTCTATATTTATATTATCAACAAACATATGTATGTCAGAGTGACCTTGGAGGCCAGGGACCTAGCTGACTTACCAAACTGCTGGAGGAGCTGAAGCAACTTGTTAAGTCTGACCCCATGGTGCAGTGCATCATGGAGGAGGCTGGGGAGCAAATCATTGCTGGAGCAGGTGAGCTGCACCAGGAGATCTGCCTCAAGGACCTGGAAGATGATCATGTCTGTATCCCCATCAAGAAATCAGACAGTGGGTGAGGAGTCAAATGCATTGTGCCTGTTGAAGTCCCCCAACAAACACAACCAGCTGTACATGAAGGCCTGGCCCTTCCCTGATGTCCTGGCTGAGGACATAGACAAGGGGGGAGTGTCTGCTTGCCAGGAGCACAAGGCATCGGCTTGCTACCTGGCTGAGAAGTATGAGTGGGATGGCTCTGATGCCCACAAGATCTCGTGTTTCTGGCCTGATGGCACTGGCCCCAACATTCTGACTGACATCACCAAGGGTGTGCAGTACCTGAATGAGATCAACAACAGTGTCATGACTGGATTGCAGTGGGCCACTAAGGAGGGCACTCTCTGTGAGGAGAACATGTGTGGTTTGCGTTCGAGGTTCATGACATGACTCTGTATGTTGATGCCATCCACTGAGGAGGTGGCCAGATAATCCCCACAGCCTGGCACTGCCCCTATGCCAGTGTGTTGACCACACAGTCCCGCCTCATGGAACCTATCTACTTTGTGGAATATGAATAAATGTCAAAGTCTGAATAAATGCAGCAAAGTTAAAAAAAAACACGGCACATCAGGACCCACATTAAGTTAAATGTATTATTTCTCTTCTATAATATAATTATTACAGGACATTTGAAACAATGGCATATACTTGAAACTCTAGCCCTCTGTAAGATTACACGAGATTTCTGTAGCTTTAGAGTTAAAGACCAGCCAAGGCTGTTATAATTAAAACAAATGTAGAATCATTGTAAAAAAAACAAACTTGTGTTGAAGCAGCATGAAATATGTGGACGTGAGTACTTTGTATTCATGAATGTGTGTATGCTTTCTTAAAAATAAAAATTCACACAGCTAGAAAATATATTTACTGAAGAATATCCAAGTTGCTATTTTTTTGTTTTTTTGTGGCATAGTTGACCATTTTTGAAATTTTAAAAAAGGTATATTTTTCATTTTACATATCAATCCCAGTTCACATTCCCTCCACTCCTCCCATGGTTACTGTTATTTTGGAGTTGATATTGTATCCTGTCACATTCCTGAAGGTATTTATCAGGTGTAGGAGTTCACTGGTAGAGTTTTGGGGGTCACTTATGTATACTATTATATCATCTACAAATAGCAAAAGGTTGAATTCTGTTTTCCCAATTTATAACCTGTTGATCTCCTGTTGTTGTCTTATTGTTCTAGCTAAAATTTCAAGAGCTATATTGAATAGATATCGAGACAGTGGAGTCTTGTTCCTGATTTTAGCAGAATCACTTTGAATTTCACTCCATTTAATTTGATGTTGGCAATTCTTTTGCTTTATATTGTTTTTTAATTATATTTAGATACATTCTTTGCATCCCTGCTATCTCCAAGACCTTTATCATGAAAGAGCATTGAATGTTCTTGAATGCTTGTTCAGCATCTAATGAGATGATCATATTTTTCTTTCAGTTTATTTATAATGGTGGATTCCTTTGATAGATTTTCATATATTGAACCACTCCTGCATCACTAGAATAAGTCTGACATCATCATGGTGGATAATTTTTTGATGTGTTCTTTGATTCTGCTTGTCAGTATTTTATTGAGTATTTTTGTGAAGCTGATTGCTCTACTCAAGAAATAACCAGGCCAGCTTAAAGATAAACAATTATATTTTTAATTGTTATAAGGGCAAACTTTCACCACAAAAAATGGGAAGTCTGAGTTCCCCTGTGTCTGGTGGGAATCACCCAGAGAGAGTGTGGACCTGGTCCATCCTAGTTTTCTTCCTGGGCTTCAGGTAGCCACGCCTTAACTAGGCTACACTTCTTAAAGGTGATTGGTTAACAGAGCTTCCTCATTATCTTTGCATAAATGCTCTTTCTTGATTGTGTCTTTGAGTGGTTTCAGTATCAGGGTAACTGTAGCCACATAAAAAGACTTTAAAGATGTTCCTTTTGTTTCTAGTATGTAAAACAATTTGAGGAGTATAGGTATTAGCTTTTCTTTAAAATTCGTGTAGAATTCTGCACTGAAACCATCCAGCTCAAACCTTCTTTTAGTTGGGAAGCTTTTGATGATTGTTTCTATTTCTTTGCAGGTTATGGGTATATATAAATTGTTCACCTGGTCTTGATTTAATTTGGGTAAGTTATATTTATCCATAAAATTGTCCATTTTATTTACATTTTCCAATTTAATGAAGTACAGGTGTTTGAAGTACTACCTAATGATTCTTTGGATTTGTCTCCTTGTCCGTTTTTATGTCTCCCTTTTCTTTTGTGATGTTGCTAATTTGGATGTTTTCTCTCTGTCTTTGGATTAGTTTGGATAAGGGTTTGTCTATATTGTTGATTTTCTCAAGAAACCAGCTCTTTGTTTCATTCATTTTTGTATTTTTTTTGTTTCTATTTTATGGATTTCAGCAAACAATTAAGTTATTTCCTATCATCTACTCCTCGTGGGTGAGTCTGCCTCTTTATGTTCTATAGCTTTAAGGTGTACTATTAAGTTGCTAGTGTTGTATACAGCAGAAGTGTGGATACTGCTTTCCTATCCATTCTCTTGATATTAGGAGACACTAAAGACCAGTAATTGTTAATTTCTGTTATTTTTTTGGTGGTGGTGTCTGTGTGTTTCCCTGCTTTGAGTTTTACTGGTGTAAGGTTTTGTGTTCCCTGTGTTTCTATGGGTGCAGTTAGCTTCCTTGTGTTTGAGCTTTCCTCCTAGTACTTTCTGTAAGGGGTTGTGAATACCTAGTGTTTAAATCTGATTTGTCATGGAATATCTTGTTTTCTCCATCAACAAAGATTGAAATCTTTGCTGGGGACTTGAATTTGTGGTCTCTTAAGTGTCTGCAACAATCTGTTCAAGACATTCTGCCTTTCATGGCTTCCATTGAGAAGTCAGGTGTAATTCTGACAGATGTACCTTTATATGTTTTCCTTTGCAGCTCTTAATATTCTTTCTTTGTTCTGTATGTTTTGATCATTATAAGACAAGGGAACTGTTTTTTTTTTTTTTTTGACCTAGTCTATTTGGTGTTCTGAAAGCTTCTTATACCTTTATAGGGATATCCTTCTTTAGATTGGGAAAGGTTTAGTCTATGATTTTGTTAAATATATTATCTGTGCCTTTGAGAGTTGTAAGAGGAGGCCACTTGTTTCCTGGTTTCCAGGAAGCTCAGCCCTTAAATAACCACACAAAAACTATATTATTTAAAATACTGATTGGTCCATTAGCTCTAGCTTCTTATTGGCTAACACTTATATATTAATTTAACCCATTTCTATTAATCTGAGTATTGCCACATGGTTGTGGCTTACCGAGTAAAGTTCTGGCATCTGTATCCAGCGTGGCTACATTGCTTCTCCCTGACTCCATTGTCTTCCTTCTAGCATTCACTTTAGTTTTCCCCTCTTAGCTCTGTTCTGCCCTATAAGGCCAAGACAGTTTTCTTCATTCATCAATGGTAATCACAGCATAGAGATGGGAATCCCACATAATTTGAGCTTTAGTTCTTCTTGTTCTTCTATACCTATTATTCTTATGTATAATTTTTTCATGGTGTCCCAAATATCCTTGATGTTTTGTTTTAAGAATTTTTGTATATAACGTTTTCTTTAACCAATGAATCTATTTCCTCTGTAATATCTTCAATATCTGAGATTCTCTCTTCCATCTTTTGTATTCTGTTGATTAGGCTTACAGCTGTAGTTCCTGTTCATTTACTCAGGTTTTCTATTTCCAGAATCCCCTTGATTTCTTTTTTGTTATTACCTCTATTTCAGTTTTCAAGTCTTGAGCTGTTTGAGTTGTATATTTCACCTGTTTGGCTGGTTTTTTTTTTTTTGGTTTTCTCTGGTTTATTAAGAGATTTTGATTTCTTCCAAATTTTTTGTTTGTCTTTTCCTCCATTTCTTTAAGGGAATTTTTTATTTCTTCTTTAAAGATCTCCATCTTTCTCATAAACATAGATATAAAATTATTTTCTCCTACATCATCTGGTTAGGATGTTCAAGTCTTCCTGTTGTATGAACACTTGGTTCTGGTGTCACCATGGTGCTTTTTAGGTTGTAGAAGGAATTCTTGCCTTGGTGCCTACCCATCTCTTCTGTCAGTTGGTGTTGACAGTGTCTTTGCCTCTTGGTCCAATCCTTGCAGTTGCTGTCTTTGTCTTTGGGAGCTGTTTTGGTCTCCTCTGTACTGTTTCTGTCTGTTTCTCAGGGAGCTGCTGAGTTCTCCCTTCATCCACACTCTTGGTCTGCCTTCTTGGTCTCTTTATTGGTCCATTCTGTGTAGTTGTAGCTTCTTGGTCTTCTCTGTGCAATTGCAAACTGTGTTGCAGAGTTCTTCTAAGGTTGTGTGAGAACCTGTATGCTTTTTGAATCAAGGAAAAATGAGATTCAAATAGCATGCTCATGTACCCTTAGTTCTTTAACACAATCATGGGATAACTAGAAGTGGTTAGAGATATACAGTATATAATATACAGAGATTAATACTCAGTGAACCAAGTACAGTCTGACAAGTAATTTTGTGTAGTTAGAAACTTAAGAGTATTTAATGCCTTTATATATTGAATATATTAAATAAAATATTTGACTTGTGAAATTACTTAAAATTGAAATATTAATGACCTTAAATAATTTTTGAAATATATTTTCATCCATTTATACACATGGAATTTAAATCTGCTTTGTTCTAAAATAACAGAAATACTATTTAAATATTATTATTTCTCAGGTCACTCACAAAGTAGAAATTATTTTCCAGCTGACCCTTTACCAAAAAAGTTATTTGTACCTTATACATTATAGTAAGCTGATAAACAGTAAGAAACTCTTATATAATGATTATTTACAAAAAAATGTAAGCAAACCTTTATCTACTTTTATCTTAGATCTTTCATAAATGTAAATAAATTAGAAGAATGGGGACAAAAAGATGGACAAAATCAGGGATAATCTACTATGTCCTAAAGTCTCTTTTCATATTACAAAACACATAAGAGTTTTCTGAATTGGCCCATTTAAAAGAAAATTAAAAAGAAGGCCAAGGGAAAGAGAAAAGATCACCCAAGGATATATGGTAAACTTTTAACATTTCTGAGCCATGCTATTTAAGCCTCATGTGGTTATATCTTTTGTAGTAAGAAATCTAAATTAATTTACTCTGAAGTAAGTAGTGATGAATTTAAAAAAAACGTGTTATGTGTTCCAAAATGTGGATAATGGCTCAATTAATGCGGTAGGAGAAAATTAATCACCAGAAGACTTAATAGTACTATGCCTAGGTCTGCAGTTACCTCAAAAGTGGGTTTCTCTCTGGGTAGAAAATCTAGAGGCAGCAAATCTACTTATTAGGAACAAACACAAGGTTTGGGAACAGAAAATAAAGTGAGTCACTCATTTGTCCAGAACATGTAAATGAATAAATGTTATTTTGCTTATCTTACAAACACAGAGCTTGTTTATTCATAATTTCTCTGATCTAAAAAAAAAAGAGGTATGTTCCATTGGGGCTGAACATATTTCTGCCTTCAA